GGACCATGAAAGATCCCTGCCTCAGTCTGAGGAGTGGGAGAAGATAGAGGAAGACTTGAAGGAGGTGAGTCAGATACAACTTGTACATATGATCTGGACTCATTCCAGCTTAAGAATTGCCATTAAAAAGAACAAAAAAGTATAAATGAAATAAATAAATAAATAAATAAATAAATAAATAAATAAATAAATAAACTGCATAAAAAAAGAAAATAAGGCCTGTGACATTTATTATTTAGAACAAATATTTTGAATTTTCTGTATCTTAAGTGAAATATCTTTAGAATTTGATGAAAATTTTTATGCTGACAAAGGCATAGATTATAATGATGTTTAAATACTTCAGATCAAGTTATGTATCCACTAAAATTTTAAAATCTTACCTCAAGGTTGATTCAGAAAGTTATCAAAATAGGCTTTAGAGACTTTGTTAGCATTATCTGAAGAACATGAGTCCTTACGGCTGCTTTTGGTTCATTTCTGAAAGAGTTTTTGCCAGTAACTGAATAAAATTAGTTATATGAAATAACAAAAGTGGCCTAATTGAGGTATTTGAATTATATATGCACTGGCCATAGGAATATTGTTGGTGGGTTCTTTTCAGTTTCACTCTCTCTATATGTGTGTGTGTATGTGGGTACATATCTGTTTACCCTCAAAATAAATCTAGCTTAAAAGGCCATGTGTTACATTATACCAGAGATGTGTGAAATTGAACAGCACTTTGGAGCTTGTTCAAAAATGTTACTTTTACTCATGCGTCTAAAATGTTTCTGTTCATTGCACTGATGATGTACTTGCAATTTTTAAACATTGCTGTCAGCATCTTCTATTTCTTTCTAATTTATAAAACATGCAGAACTTTGGTATTATAATAGGGTAAGGGATGTCCTGTAAAAATTAGTTTTTTAAAAATGTTTATAATATGATACCAATCTTTTACCTGAAATCCCTTTTTTGATCATTCAGTTGATCACCAACACAAAATGGGCATAGGCAACTTTGTTGCTCCTATGTCTACATGTGGGCTAGTTGGCAGACAGTTAGGTACATGAAAAATTTTTAATGTTGCATTGTGTTGGCTGAGATTTGTTTACCAAATGGAATAACTAACACAATGAGATTGATCTTGAATCAGCTCAGTATTATTGTGGTTGTTGCTTGAATGCAAATACTGTCGATTATTTAACATGAATTCTGGAATTGTTTTATTTTTAAAGACTGTGGCTAGGGCTTGAATACAAAACTTTATCCATAGGTTTGCCAAAGTTTGTAATGACACCTTTCAACAGATTAAACATTTCCTAGATTGTACTTTTGTTAGCCTAATGTTTTGTGAGGTAATGAGTGCATTCAGAACAGCAAACTAACAGATACGCAGATATGGCGACTCACTAAAAAGCTTGCTGCTTAATACCCAATTAGACACTGAATAGATTTCTGACGGGGATTGTGCAACAAGCATTCAAGTGGGTTGGCCATATTTGATCCGCTGTTCTGAATGCGCTCTGTGCTCAATAATGAATGCTGAATGTGCTTTAGATACTGATAGTGGGCTTTTCACATTAATTTTTTTTCTGTTGTCGAAATAAGCCTTAACTGACTTAAAAGGCTGCACATTATTTCACACCAGTGAGGCATTGGAAATTAAACAGCATTTTTGGAGTTTGTACAAAAATGTAACATTTACTCATGCTTCTAAAATGTTTCCAGTGGTAGTTAAAGGTTGATGATTGTAGGGCGGAAGTTTGGTGAAGATTTAGGGAAATTGGAGGCTAATATAGCTTCAGTTTAATGTCTAAGGTGAACACTTCAAAGCTGATTCAGTTTGCCAGTTTACCTGGCTGCATGGTTTATTTCAAGAAGATGATGCAGTATCTTGCTCATATGATTCATGGTATGATTATCAGTGTAAAATGTCTAGAAATAAAAACTCTTAAAATTATAAATTTAATAACAGAAAATTGTCAAATTGCAGATGAGAAATTGCTGAGGAAATAATGCAAGTGAAATTATAATTGCTTGTTATGCAAATGAGTTTTAAAACCTCTATAGCCTGAAACTGACATTGCTGGCAATGTCCTTGTTAAAGTTTTCATTAGTTCTTTTAGAGTACAATTACGTTCAGTGGCCTTTTTTTTATGCCATTGTGTGTGCCTGACATACCCTGTACATGACACATGATATACATTTTGCAAGAATGTTATTACTTTATAAAAACTGATGCTTTCAACCCACTATAGAATGCTACTATATAGTTATCTGAGAATTTAATTGGTTGTATGATTATAGAATAAAGACTGTGAATGTTATTGAGATTTTTGCATTCTCTATAGTAACACCACAGTCATGGCATCATTATTAGGAAAATTTATTGACTTTTGATCAATATTTCAATATCGTGCAATGAGTAGATTTAGTGACATGTCCCATATTCTCAAATTGTCCATTCTTATATACATAGTAAGGTCATTCTTACAAACTATTACCTGAAATGTTTTTTTTATGATGTCAAAATCAGTGGACCAGAAAACATGCAGATGCAGGCTATGTTCTGTGCACTGCATGTCAACTGTGTCCAAATTCTTTGACTGGAGAAACTGGTGGAAAAAAGCAGATATTAAGTGATACAAAAGAAGCTTGTTAGACATTTAAGTTTCCATGTTTCCTGTAAGAGCTAATCAAATGTATCTTTCTTCTTAGTAGTTCAGCCTGCAGTATAGATGCCTTGGTACAAATTGGAATTATACTGTGTAATAAACAGTAAACTCATTGGTGTCCATATTAAGAGACATGACTGACCGTGTGGTATCTTTTTGAATCCGTTCCCCATGTCACAGTCATTCACATATGGTCAGGCTGTCACAACGTTTTCAACAACTTAAGTTTTTTGTTTTTTACAATTACAATACATTTTTGTAGGTATTTTTTATTGTTATGTTGTTGGAATAAATTTGGTTGATGAGGAAAAAAATAGATCTCCATCTGTTTGTCCATCTGTCTGGATGTCTCACTGTCTGTCTGTCTGTCTGTCTGTCTGTCTGTCTGTTGAAAAGTATCATCTCTGAGTTATTAACTTCCTCTGACTAATGCAAGCTATGTATTCCTGGTAAATGGCTGTCTACACCAATATGTTAAAGGAGCACATAGGTAGGTGCTGTATTTACTCCAAAGCAGATGGTATTGTGCTCTACGGCATTTACTTTGGTATTTTCATCTAACCTCTCTGTTTATGAAAGTGCAAATAAACAAACACAGCAGTTATTGCGCATCTACCTAGCCAGGCAATGCCAGAACTGCCGGATTGATGATTAAGTCAAATACATGAAAAGAAATTTGTTTGTACCCCACCCAAATCACACAGATAAGTAACTTAAACTTTTTAAATCAATTTTTACGACCAATTTTGTTTGTTGTGCACATAATTGATGATTTTTGTAATAAGTTTTTTTCTTATCTAATTTGCTTGCTTATCACATTATATTCAAGGACAGTTTTGACAGCTGGAGTTAACTATTGGAAATGGCATGGTAGTAAGGGCTAATTGCTTAAGGTTTTTTTAAAGCTGCTACTCTGCATTCCGCTGTCTGCTTTATCCCACTCACGTTGACAGTGCCAGTTATGTAACCTTTAAAGCATAGCCTTTGAAGAATAAGCAGTAGTTTATTTTCATTTGAAAAGAAGTAAATCATCAGTATAAAGAAAAAGTTGAAAAATCATTTACATTTTTATTAAGATGTTATAGATGTGAAAATATCTTTCAAGTAATTTTCTGTGATCTTGTTAATGATTTTTTTCATTTGTGCCTATAGCATGTATCCATACCCAAGTTGATGCCTGATACTGGTCCATTGAGAGAATTCCAGCAGAGAAGAAATCTCTGTTGATGGACCATATTTGATCAAAAGCTTAGCAAACAAGTGTGCAAGTCTAAATGTTCAACATCTTGAGAGCCACAGTGTAGTGCTTGTGTAGGCTTTGTAAGGCAAACTTTACTGTAGAGTCCATTCTTATGTGGAATTATGTCTGTCTGTTATGAAATTAAACATATAAATTATAGGATTTTGATGATAAAGACAAAAAGGGAATGTAAGTTTTTGACTATTTAATGTTTTGATAGATATTTCTGGAGAAACAAAAAGTTGAAAAGGACCTAGATTTCTACGAATAAGAAATATTGCTGAAATTCTATTCAATAAAAGAACCACAAAGAAGTAATGATCTGTTGCCAAGTGAACTGGAAGGTATATATTTTCCATATATTTCAAGTAATTAGTCTGTTTCTAAGCTAATCACTGGGCACAGATGGTTGATTATCAAGGCTAGACAGACTGACACAGATCTCTCTCCACTATCTTTATAATACATATGCTCAAAGCATCTTTCTACTCAGACCAGAAGCAGTTTTGGTAAATGAATCCAGGAATAAATTGTTTACATATGGATTCCATGTTCTTGTACAATATCTCACACACGGCCTCCTGGCCTCCTCGACCCAACACACTCTCTCTCTACCTCTCTCTCTCTCTGGACTAGACTTTGCTTTGGTTTTCCTGCAGTCCTTCACCTGTATAACCATCCCGCCTCTCACCTGGTATATATTACAACAGCTGCAGCAAGGCAGATGCCATATTTGGAGTAAGCTATACATTAACAGAGCCAGAGGTTGCTTCACCTCCCATCTACTCTCACTGACTTCAAGAATCTGAAATGATTTGGACTTCAGAAAAGGGGAGACAGATAGCAGGATTTTTACAACAAAAATTCACCCTGTTGGTTGATCAGTCATTGTATTTGCTTAAACATTAGTGTTCGGGCCACGCTCTGCATTCTTGAGTTAAGCTTCAGCAAACAAGGCCAGATCCGAGCTGGATTTTGGTTCCCTTTTCCTCCCTCCTACCCCCCAAGAGTAAATAAGGGTAGTCGGCCTAGGTGATCATGTGTTATAAACAGTGTACTGGCTGTGAAAACTGTGTGTTAGTGTTGGTTAGTGCTCTTGGAACCTAGCTGTTTTATGCATGCCTCCTATTCTTCATATATCAGATCCTCTGCCCATTGTGTTTT